AAGCAACAATGCCATCTGTGAGGAACAGGTACGTAATTTTATAATATAGTCCCTTCGTTTTTTTAGTTCGCATATGAGAATTGGTCAAAGTCAAACTTTGTAAAGTTTGACTCGCTTTGTAGGAAAAGATATCAACATTCACGATATGAAATTAACATTATCAAATGAATGATGAAATTAATTTTCATGACATATAACTTTAGTATTGTAGATGATGATATTTTTTTCTATAATGTTAGTCAAACTTTCTAAAGTTTGACTTTGACCAAATCTTATATGCAGACTAAAAAAAGGAGGAAGTAGAAAAAAGACATACTCGGGGTCCATGTATCCTGCTGTCCCAGCCGCATTAGTTGATATGTGGGTCTGCATGTCGCTAAGATAGGTCTTGCATAGTCCAAAATCAGCTATTTTAGCCTTTAGATTTTGACCTAGGAGAATGTTGTTGGTTTTCACATCCCGGTGGATTATTGGCAAGCTACATCCCTTATGAAGATAATCCAGGCCTACACATATCATAGCAAGTCCTTCAAAACTTGACTGAACAGAAGTGCAAACCATCTATAACACATTCACTTGAGAGAGCTATATATATCTTTCCATTACACTATACCTTGTGCTGCTTCGAGCATGACTCGTACACGTATCGCCCAGCTCAAGGGTTCACCAACACCATTTTTCCCTTCATACATGAGCATGGTAACAGTTAGAGCAGAATTGTATCAACAGTTTTACATGTCAATGTTCATATATTTATGCAATATTTCTTTGTTCGCAATTCCTTTACACAGTCTTCTGTGTAGGAAAATTGAATAAAATAGATGCATTAAGGTTGTAACTTTGTCAGCCAACAGTTAGCAAAATGGATTTGTTTTTGGATGAGAAAAAGCAATATAAGAAAACATTAGAGAATCTCTAACCGAACTCATAATAGGGCTTAACTTCTCAAAAGATCGCATCCAGCCGAACTCCTATTTGTGTTAAATCGATGTTCAAGATTCTTAGGAGAACCATCCAAGCTTTCAAATCTGAGTATTTGTCGCAACAACGTCGACAGGAGCTCTAACGTCCTCCGTCCGTCAACTGTTCAGCGAATAGCCTATGTGATTTTTTTTCTTTATTCAATGTTTTCTTTCATTTTTGCAATCAAATTCATCATTGAAGATTGCAATTAGTAGATGAAGAGGTTAAGGGATATGTTCTTCAACAACTCTTCATCCAAGCAAGAGGAAGAGGAGGATGATTTTGAGATGGCCATTGTCGGGACAGTTCACGAGGATATGAAGAGGCCAATACTAGGATGACAGTTTAGCCATTTGTATGTCAATCGTGATAGGGCAGAAGGCCATGCCAAACTTGTCAAGGATTACTTTGCGCCCAATGCAACATATCCAGAGAAATGTTTTCGGCGGAGATTTTGAATGCACTGAAGTCTATTCAACACCACTGAAAAAACTTGTTGAGGATCATGATCCCTTGTCTAAACTTAGAAGGAGTGCATCGGGAGAAATAAGTGTGAGTCAATTGATGAAGTGTGTCGTGGCTCTTCTACTGCTTCCTTTGGGTGTTCGGCCGACGCCATTGATGAGTATGTCCGCATTGAGGAAGATACAATCCTGGAGGTGGTTCGAAGATTCACACAAGCCGTGATTGAGGACGGCGGGCCGGAGTACTCAAGGGCACCTAGTGATGAAGACATGCATAGAGAGACTCCTGGGTTGATTAAAGAACGAGGATGGGTAGGGGTGCTTGGATCAATTGATTGCATGCACTGGACATGGAGGAATTGTCATGCGGAATGGAAAGGTCAGTACAATGGGCATTCCAAAAAATCCAGCCATCATTCTTGAGTCTGTTAGATCAGAGGACCAATGTAGTCACCATTCATTCTTTGGGTTGCATGACTGTCATAATGAACTGAATGCTTCAAGAAGCGAGGCAGCTTCAAGATGATCTTGTTGAGCGGTTGTGGACACTTTATAACCTTGATTGTTGTGCTTTTATCATGCTTTCTTTAGATTATTACTTCACTCGGACCCTATTGTGTGTTTGAATCTGAATAATTAAAATTCTAAACTTTTAATTTATAGTGTTCTTGAATTGCGTGAACCTAAATATCAAGTTTGGACTTAATATATGTGCATATCTAGTTGAAATAGAGTATGTAAACCAAAAGATAGAAGAATTAGCAAAGAAATTTTCTAGGGGCTTAAGCTCGGAACACTACTTTTTAACTCCTTAAATTTGAGGAGTTAAGAATTGAGGAGGCATTTGAGGGGCTAGATTATAGGTGTTTTGCTAGAGATACCCTTACTAGCTGTTACTGATGATTACAAGAACTTCAAAGGAATAGACAACCTCAAACGATTTTAGATAAATAAATTGAAGGCACTCAAGATATATATGCCTTAAGTTCAAACAATGCATATATATTTTGTATGGAATTTTAAGGCAGCAACAAATTTTCTACCACTTAGTTTGCTAACGGACAAACCTCTCAGATGATCACAAAGATTGCCCTCGGACATGTACTCATAAACAAGTGCCAAATGTTCCTTCTCGCAGCAGTAACCAACCAAAGAAACTAGATTCCTGTGATGCACCTTTGTCAAGCTATTGACCTATATATGTAACGAGACATAGCACAAAGGAAAAAATATCTTAGTTTGCGCATGTAAGCTTACTGTGATAGAAAATAGTTACTTGGCAAACTTTCATTTCAATTAAAAAAAATTATGAACCAGGGGAAGAAGTACCTCTGCTAAGAACTCGTCAAGACCATGCGACGATGATTCAGAACGAATCTTGACAGCAACTTCAGTATTGTCTTCTAAGCGGCCGTAGTATACGAGCCCAAAACCTCCTTTACCAATGGACCGTTGGAATTTATTTGTAAACTTCTCGAGCTCCCTGTATGTGAATCGTCGATTCTCGGTATTTTGCAGGTGATCACCCTGAATTTTTGTACTTCCAAGGGCACTCTCAAGTTCTTGCTCTCTAGGAGCATCCTGTACGGAAACTGGATGCCCAAATGCCAGTTATATTACAAAAATATTGAATATAGTAAACCTTAATAATCAATGGATGTAGTGTTATTAAAAGAAAAGAGCAACGCACATTTAGGCTTTCTCTTCCCTCTCCAGATAAAATATGAAAGAACAAGTACAACCACTACCAGCAAGGGAACCACTATTGAAATACTTATTATAACTGTTCTATTTTTTGATGGAGTCGAACTTATTGTTTTGTTGCACATATCTTCACCAGACTCGTACCTAAAAACAGTGAAATCACATCAGACAACCAATTCAGTGTTACTTTAGTACAACAAGCAATCTTAAGTAGTCAGCTTCCTAAAGATCACAAAAACTGAACCTGGGGAAGAAAATCCAAACCTTAAAACGAGCGATCCTGCATTCACTTTACAAAGGGAATATGGAATTGGTCCATTCAGAGTGTTGCCAGATAAATCTCTGCAGAAAGTGATATGTGCTAGTTTAGAAACTCAACAATGCTCTTAGTATCGTAAACATTGCAACTAAATCTATCCAAGAATTCCAAACAGAAGTCATCTTAAGTAGATCATGTTGGTTTTCTGCACTCATCACTATAGGTAGAAAGGGATCCAAATTCATGATAAATGGAAATGTCAGATAAGAGTTGTATGGATTGTCGATAAGGAAAATATTTGTGCACTTTTATACGCTTCCCCACCGTCCACTAATTATCTATCAGGATGGAGTGCTTAGTAGTGGAAACATGTTGGTTATGAAGAAGCCTAACTTTTCTGTAAGAAATATGTATATACATAGTTATACACATTATCTAATACTTACAGAAATTGGAGTTCTGTGAGAAGTGTGAAGTTATCAGATACCAACCCACTCATGTTATTATTGGACAAGTCTCTGCATGAAGATTAACATTCCAACATATGAGGGAAAGCTTGCATATTAGCACACGAAACATGAATAACCACCAAAATAATACTTACAGAGATATTATCCTCGTCGTGTTATCAGTTACATCGCTACACTTAACGCCATTCCACCGATATTTTGCTGGAAAACATGGATCACCCATCCAATTTTTCTTTACTCCATACTCTTGTTTGATAGCCATCATTGCTTCAACTACCATCGCAAAGTGAAAAAAAGGACTAAAATTTTGATCATCCATGTGAAGAATTGTTTGATCACCGAATACAAACAACGCAATTTGATGATGGTTCGTTAGGTCAACTACATCCAGATTTTATTTTATTTTACAAAACTCGGACACATGCATCAAGAAAGTATAGGTCTAGGAAAAAATTAAGATCCCCACAGAAACTTCGACAGAACATTTTGAGTGCCCCACCGCGCCTCATCGACTTTATGCACATTTCAGTGTGAACTAACAATATTGTTGCATGCTTTTCCAAGACGTTCGGATGGGGTCTCATTTTCCTATGTGCACTGGGTGCACAAACGAACACATGTCTTTCGTTACCACTTTGTCCTCACTCATGCGCATCCGCGAACAAACTTTTCGGCCACTCCTCATCAAATTACCCGAGGCCAATCATGCTTAACTTGGAGGTACTTTGGAGATTAGCTTCCAGAAAAGAAGGTGCATCTTGTTGATATCAGTGGTCCATCAAGGTCTAGATGTCACACCTGCCGTATCGGAAAGTGATATAGAAGCAAGTTTGGATAATGTTAGGCTACTCACTGGTCGTAATATAAAAATGTAAGGGTAACATTAGGCTACTTGGTCATCGGTAGCCAACTTACGATAGCATTAGACCAACTAACATCATGGAAGGTGAAGCTAGCAGGGGGTTGTTTCTCGTAGCACTAAAGTCCACAAAAAAATCGTCAAAACATGTTGTTATGTGGTCAAGTTTTGCAGAGCTCGTCACCACAGGTCCAATGGTGAAATCGAACCTTAATTCCAATATGCGTTTGAGAGTTACAACATTTACAAAATATAAAGAACACTGTTAAATCAGATGAAATCATCATGTGCATGTGGATGAATCAAAATGTCCACACCGTGCATGTGTTCGTTGGCTATGCATAGAGACTAGTTTCCCTTTTCAAGTGTCCATGTAATAAGATAAGTAGAACTTTTTCCTTTTCTTTTATGGGTATGTGCTTGAATGTCCTAATTAGCAAATGGTTGCTTTCTTGACATGTCCATACTTTCATTGTAATCCAAAACAAAAAAACAGCGACACTAAAAAGAATATTTGCGAAACTTTCCTTCAGATCCGTACATTTATTGGTAAATTATTTTTGTTAATTTCCCATGCCTAGATATACATTGAAAATGAAATGTCAATTAATTAGTATCAACTAATCGTACACTCTCTCCAAAGAAATGGTAAACAAATTCAGAAACAAAGTTCAGCTCAAGGAAGATCTTATGCCGTTGGAGCAAAACATTTGAATAGTTTGAAACAATGGATTGGTGCTCATCTATGATGCTAGTATGTTAAGAATTATGTTTAATAGATGATCTCATGATCCCAAGAACAGGAATTGGTTGAGCTATTATTTATCATTTTTCAGTGGCAGTCTTTGTTGTAAATATTGTACTTTTTTGTTTCTTATTAATGACTAAATACTGTAGAACAATTTTTCTACAGTCTGTGGTTAAAAAAAAGTACACTGCCCTAAATATGATGTTCTATGCGCTAACACATTTTTTTGATAAAATGACATTTTTATCATCTCAAAATATGGCGTCAAAGGGATAAACCGACACAATTAAGAAAAACATTCTATTCCAACCTTTTTATTTCTACATTTTAATAAAAGACTATGAAAACACATATTATTTTGGAAAAATTAGTGATGGTGAAGCTAAAGAGGTGAAAAGTAGAGTAGTGTACCAATCGGTTGATCGGAGTAAACAATATGTTTTCGAGAAGGAACCAATGCCCAACATTGTCTAGAATGACGACAAGCGAGTTAAGTAGGGAACTATAGGTAGAGGGGAGTTATCTCACAGTCTTTGAAGAATGTCCTCGGAGTGTCGTGGGGGATGTGTGTGTATCCCTCATATGCATTGATCATCGGAGGCATCATGGATGTATTGGTGGCTGCAAGAGTGAAATTGTACTCGCCGCCCGTAGTCTTATACCATTTAGAACTACGCACATGATCAGCTACCAGGTATGGGGGGCTGTAATTCGTGTACCAGTCCTCGTTGTTCATGTATATGTTGAATCGCCGACGTTGGGTGTTTTGGATGTCGGCGAAATGGAAGATGAACTTAAACTCCAATGATGTTTTGTATGATATCCATGTATTGACATATAGCACCGTGGCATTGTTGATAGGAGCTACGGCTGTCTGAAGAACCAGACTGGGCACCGCGAAGACGTTGTCCTGCTCGATGGTGTCTTTGGTGGAAAGCTTTGCCCATGACAACCTGGTTCTCGAACTCCAGTAGCGGTCGTAAGGATCCTCAGGAAACCTTCATGGAAATGAAAACCCATCAGTGAGACAATGGAGTGATTTTTTTTGCGTTTGTGAGATTTATTACAGTGTATGAAACGTAAAATAGTTCTGCATTAATTATTACAGCTTTAACGGAACTTGTGCTGTCAGAATCTGCTACTACCTTCATCCAAATATATAAGATCCAATACGTATTTTACGGTTGACTTTGATCATTGACAAGATTATATATGAGATGTATAATATAAATAATAGGTCAGTGTAAACTCATTTTAAGTACGAATTTGATGGTTTATGTATCATTCACATCATATATTTTTGGTGTAACTGATGACCGAAGGCAACCTCAAAAGACATATTATGCCCTATATATTTAGATGGAGGGAGTTCATCGTCTCTGGTCAGAAAGGCATGCGATATCCCTTTTTTTGCAGGTGACATGTGTTATCCTCAGTAATAATTTTACCAAGATAACATGAGTTGTATGTCCCCAAAATATAACACTAGAACTTCAAATGTTTCATTTTAAATGATATATTACTAGTGCCGAATGGTGTTATTAAGACACCCTATCACACTCGCTTTGCAAAAATTGTGTGTGATGTACACATCGTACACACCTTTTAGCCGAAACGTGTGCAATGTGTTAAAAAGAATGTGCGATGTCGCAATATTACACACAGGTCAGAAACGCAACAATGTGTGATGCGCTGCACACAATTTTCACAACAAATGTGTGTATGATGTCTTGCACACAATTTTTATGGAAAACGTGTGCGCGATGTGACCTATCATTGCACATGGTTTAAAAATGTAACCATGTGTGATGCATTGCACACGATTCTTGCAAAAAAATGTGTTTGCGATGTAGCCTATTATCACACACCTTTTAAAAATTCAACCATGTGTGATACATTGCACACGGTTTTTGCAAAAACAATGTGTACGATGTATTCTATTGTTGCACATAATTTTAGGAAATCAACAGTCTGCCATAAGAAGCACACAATTTTGCAAGCATATGTGAGGCCTTACAAAAGTTTTTTTTTTCGAGAAAATTGGTTTTCGTGATATGTTTGAAAGCAAATTTTTCCTTCATCACTTGACATTGTTTTTGTTTTCTTCTAAACTCAACATACAACCTAACATCCTTCATGTCCAAAGTTGGTACTTTTTGGGGCTTATTTTCTATATTTAAGCCATTAAGTGCATTTCTAAGCTTTAGATTGATATAAGTCAAATTTGAACTACGGGTACATGAAAAGATGCACAAAAATGATTTAGAAAAATCATATTTAGGGTCTTTAGTATATTTTTGTGCCTTGTACAAGACAATAAAACAAATTTTACAGATCTATGGGGCAAAAGTCAACCACACACATGGAGTTTACTCGTTTTAAAATTTTAGAAAATGTAAATAAAGTATGAAAAATATGAAACTTGGCATGGTGTATATGATATGACCTCAGTATTCTGTTGTAAAAACTCGAGAAGGTTTCACAAAAGTTTTGATGTACACTCTTTAGAAACCAAACCGATACCTCGTGGTTTCGAGGGTGAATGCGTCAAGTTTGTAGACAAATTGACATTTCCTTCATCATTTGACCTTAAACTTTTATCTACACTAAACATAACCATAGAACCCTCTATGTTCAGATTTGGAAATTTTAAAAGCTCATTTACTATATTTAAATCATCAAGTGCACTTCTTGGCATTTAATGGATATAATTCATATTTTCACTACGATTACATGAAACTGCACAAAAATGGTTTGTAAACTTATATTTGGGATCTTGAGAATATTTATATGACTTATACAAGAAATGGAAAATAGATTCAAAGATCTCTATGGTTAGAGTCAACCACAAACATGGAGTTTATTGGTTTTTAATTCTAGAAATATAAATGAAGTCCCAAAAACATGAACTTGGTATGGTGTCATGATATGACCTCGGTGTGGTAAAAGTTTGAGAAGATTTCACAAACTTTGATGTACACTCTTTAGAAATCAAGCTATCTCCTAGGACGAATTGTGACTTCCATAGTGAATGTGTCAAGTTTGAAGGCGAATTGACATTTCATTCATTGTTTGACCTTGAATTTTTTTGTACATTCAACATACACTATAGAATCCTTCATGTTCAAATTTGGCAATTTTCAGATCTCATTTACTATATTTAAGTCATTAAGTGTGTTTCTAGGCATTTAATCAATATAACTCAAATTTGAACCACGAGTGCATGTAAAAATGGACAAAAATTGTTTGAAAAATCATATTTAGGTTTGAGTATAATTGTATGCCTTATGAAAGAAATGAAAAGTATGTATAGTTGATGAAAAAAGGGCAACATATAGTACTCCTACGCGAAACGAAAAATTGCGCGTTTCCGGTAGGTACCGGCAACCAGCTAGCCTATCAACTGGTGACACTTCATACCATATATTAACTCTTGTGTTGTATAAAAGGTTCTCATTGTTTAAGAAATATTGGTATTTCAGTAGTTGGTCCACCACCATAGTACTACTTTTGTCAGTCTAGCAGTCCTGGAGTACTACTTTTTGTCAGAGAAGGAGGTGCATGCATCAGTCATTTCTCTCTCCCTTGCAAACAAATCCATAGACTTTATTTCATATTAGTAAATTAAAAACACTAATATATTTTGAACCATAAGTTCGTATTTGAACTAATTTATATATTTAAATTCTTGACGCCAAGACCTTTAAAACTAGACCAATCTTGGATACATTTCAAACACATTTAAATTTCAACATTTCACATTTGGTGTGTGGACTAACACATTTCACTTCAGAACATGTGAAACAAGCCAATAACATATTTTAGAATTGTGAAATAATAACTACATAAATTGTAATTGTAATATACGATTGTAAAACTGATTATTTGAAAATGTGAACAATGAATTTCACTTTTTGTGCTTACTATTTCACAATTTAGAACCAACATTTCACTTTCCACTCGCTTCTTTCGAAAAAATAAGACCTATTTCAATTGCACATTTCTCAAATAACCTATTTCACTCTTTTGTAATAAATTGTTTCAGATTTTCAAATAATCTGTTTCACAATGATATATTATAATTTCACTTTTTATGGTTACTAGTTCACAATTCAGAACCTACATTTCACTTTACACTGGCTTGTTTCACAAAAAACGTATATTTTCAGCTGTACATTTCTCACATAAACTATTTCACTATTTTGAAATAAATTGTTTCACATTTTAGAATAATCAGTTTCACAAATGATACATTATAATTCACTTTCTGTGGTTGCTATTTCATAATTCAGAAGCTATATTTTTCTTTTCACCGGCTTGTGTCATAAAAAGCACATCTATTTCAGTTGATCATTTTTTAAATAACATATTTCACTCTTTTGAAATAAAACTATTACACATTTTCAAATAATCAGTTTCACAAGTTGACATTTCAGTTTCATATTTTTTTTTCACTTTCAAAAACCAATATTTCACTTCCGCTGTCTTGCTTCACAAAAAACACATTTTTCAAGTGAAATAGGTTTGTTTCACATACAAAATGTGTGAAACATTGAAATTTAAACGTGTTTAAAATATATCCAAAATTTTTATTTTCAAATAATCTCTTTCACAATGATATATTATAATTTCACTTTTTGTGGTTACTATTTCATAACTCAGAACCTACATCTCACTTTACACCGGCTTGTTTCACAAAAACATATATTTCAACTGCACATTTCTAAGATAAACTATTTCACTATTTGAAATAAAGTGTTTCACATTTTATTATAATCAGTTTCACAAATGATACATTATAATTCACTTTCTATGGTTGCTATTTCAAAATTCAGAAGCTATATATTTCTTTTCACTGGCTTGTTTCATAAAAAGCACATCTATTTCAGTTGCTCATTTTTTAAATAACATATTTCACTCTTTTGAAATAAAACTATTATACATTTCCAAGTAATCAGTTTCACAAGTTGACATTTCGGTTTCATAATTTTTTTCACTTTCAAAAACCAATATTTCACTTTCGCTGTCTTGTTTCACAAAAAACATATCTTTTAAGTGAAATAGGTTTGTTTCACATACGAAATGTGAAATGTTGAAATTTCAACGTGTTTGAAATATATTCAAAAATTTTATTTTCAAATAATCTGTTTCACAATGATATATTATAATTTCACATTTTGTGGTTACTACTTCATAATGCATAAACTACGTTTCCATTTACACTGGCTTGTGTCACAGAAAAACATATATTTCAACTACACATTTCTCAGATAAACTATTTCACTATTTTGAAAAAACATATTTCACTCTTTTCAAATTAAACTATTACATATTTTCAAATAATCAGTTCCACAAGTTGACATTTCAGTTTCAATTTTTTTTCACTTTCAAAACCAATATTTCAGTTCTGTTGTCTTGTTTCACAAAAAACACATTTTTCAAGTGAAATAGGTTTGCTTCACATACGAAATGTGAAACGTTAAATTTAAATGTGTTGCAAATATATCCAAAATTGGTTTACTTCTCAAGGTCTTGGCGCTAGGAGTTCAAATATATAAATTATTTCACAAACAAACTTATGTTTTAAAATATATAAATGTTCTAAATTGGTCAAGATGAAAAAATGTCTATGAATTTATTTGCAAGAGAGAGAGAGAAGAGACAGATGCATATGTGTGTGAAAAAAGACAGAGAGAGTGAAGTATCAGATACATGCATGCGAGGTAAGGACAAAAGGAGTGGGCCAATAGCTGTATTTGATCTAGTATTTATTTTGTATAGCAAAATGAGATGAATAATTGCTCCTCATGGACCGCATCTTAAAGCAGCTGTTGAGTGGTGAGATGGTTGCCGGCGCATGCCGGAACCGCGAAAAAGACTTTGCGTACTCCTAAGTAGCATTAGATTAGAAGAAAGCCAGAGTTTCATACATACCGAGTAAAGTTTCCCCCTGTGTTTATCCTTTGATACGTGGACATGGACTCATCGATGGTGACGTCCGGGTAAAGCGAGGCACTGAGCGGCCTCAGCTCCACCGTGCTGACGAACGGCGTACCACTGCCGGTGTTCACCAGGCACACCGGCACCCAGCTCGCCCAGGCGACGAAGATCGCCTCGGACCACGAGTAGCGGTCGTCGGTCGTGTTTCCGACCGACATCGTATCCCAGTAGTTGGTGCCAAGGTGTAGGTCGAAATCGACCGTCTTGCCGTCGTAGTTCCCGTGGAAGAACAACATCCGGACAAGGTACTTGGCGCCGCTCTTGGTTGGGAGCGTGTAACAGTTTCGTAGGCCGGACGGGAAACTCCTGAGCGTGCGGAGGTCCTCGTTTGTGTCAGTAGTATCGAGCTCGGCGGCTACCCTGTGGTTCTCCCCGCCGTCGACGTACGGACCGTCGGAGACGTAAGCGATATCTGTGTACGTGTCCCTGCGGCCGCTGAATTTGGCATCCAGGCCGCAATCGATGCTCAAGAAACCTGATTGTTGATGGCACAAATTACACAACCAGGATGAAAAGAGTTAGAATACGATCAAAAGCCGGGTATTTGGATTTATAATAATAATGAAATATCTACAGAACGTTTTAGTATATGGATCTGATCCATGCACTTGAGTTGAGGAATCAACCTTCTTGCTGACCGGCGACATGAACTGCGGTGGCTGCCATTACGAATGCACCGAAGAAAACCCACAACGGCCCCATTGAGCTAGAGAGAGTAAACAACTCAGTTCATCAATGGCGCTGAGAACTGGGATATGCCTCACGTATATATATTGCGCGCCAACTTGAGATGGGAGTCGTATGTTTGATGCTTCCATCAGCATTGCTACATTACTTGCTAAATATCCAATTAATGCCTTGCAAGCTGGATAACACAAAGCAGACTATTCAAAACTGTTGAGTATATTGAGTACGTGTATATTTGTGTGTAGGGCCGTTTTCTCTGTATAGTTGAGGTTGTGGCCCACCTCTGTACTTATATATACGTGTCTGGTGCACCGATCAATACATCACGATTGCACAGCCCACATCTTGTCCTTCTACATGGTATATATCGCAGCACGATCCTAAAACCCTAAGCCGCCGCCGCCGCGCCTCTACGCGCCGCCGCCGCCGCCGCTACTCCCCGCCGCCGCCACCGTCCTCTCGGTCGCCGTCGCCGCCGCTGGTCGCCGCCGCCTCTCCCCACCACCTCGCCTTCCGCCGCCGCCGCCGATGGCCACCAGCTTCCGCCCACGCCCTCTCTCCCGAACCCTAACCTCCCACCCGCGCCGCAACCCGCACCACCCCAGCCCTCCTCCCACCCGCGCCGCCACACCTCCCAACCCGCGCCGCGTCCCAAACCTTAACCCTAGCCATGAGCTCCTCCTCCTCCACCATCTCAAACTCGTTCGCCGGTCCCGATGTCACCCTCGTCCGCGACCTCAACATCCATGAGCTTGTCCCGGTGAAGCTTGATCAAAACACCGCGTCCTACTCCGCTTGGAAGCGGTATTTTTTGCTTGTGTTCCGTGAGTACCTCCTGCACGGCCACGTGGACGGCACCGTGGACTCGGCGCTCATGATCAACGATGAGGAGTGGATGATCCTCGACGCCACCATCATCCGCTGGTTCTACCTCACCATCTCCAGCGACCTCTTCCACACTGTGGTGGATGACGACGACGACGCCTACGCGGTCTGGACCAAGCTCAACGGCCTCTTCACCGACAACCGGCTGCAGCGCAAGGTCCTTCTCCACGGCGAGTTCTACGGGTGCCAGCAGCTTGACTCGTCCATTGATGAATTTTGCATGCGCCTCAAGAAGCTTGCCGATGAGCTCCGTGATCTCAGGGAGACGATCGGCGACGAGCTCCTCATCAGCACCCTCACCGCCGGCCTCAACGAGGATTTTGGGAACGCCGCCTCCAACCTTACCCTCATCCCGGAGCCTACCTTCGCTAAGGTGGTCGCGTACCTCAAGTTGAAGGAGCGCCGGATGCGGATGGCGCGGACTCGCGCGACCCACACCGCCCTCGTCGCTGGCACCCGCGGGGGTCAAGCCCCGCCACCGCCGCGCCCGACGCCGCCACAGCTGGCGGCGCCCGCCTTCCCTCCAGGTTTCCCGCCCGCCTCGGCCGCTCCCTTCCCGCCGCCCCAGCCGGCGGCAAATGCGGGGGAGGGGTCGTCGCGGCGGCCGTCGCGGCGGCCGCAAGCAGGGGGCGCAGGCGCTCAGGGAGGAGCACCCCGCCCGCCGCAGCAGGCTTATCAGCCGGCCCCATGGTATGCCGGCCAGAACCCATGGACCGGCGTTGTGCACGCCTACTCCATGCTGGTTCCTCGGGCCCCTGCCCCAGGCATTCTCGGCGCCTGGCCACCGTCACACCAGGAGTTCTACGCCGCGCCGCAGCCCTATGAGGCGCCCTATGCGGCGCCCTACGCGGCGCCCTACGGCCAGCAGCCGCAGCCAGGTGGGCTGCCGCTACTGCCCCTGATGGCCCCGCCGCAGCCTCTCCCGCCAGCGCCGTGGGACCCGGCCCTTCTGGCGGCTCATCACACCGCCCCTTCCCCGTCCAGCTACACCGGCGGCGGCGACTGGTACATGGACACCGGAGCCATCGCTCACATGGCGGCTTATCCCGGTAACCTCCACACCTCCTATCCTGTCATACTTCCAACCGCATCACCGTCGGTGACGGCTCTTCTCTTCCTATCACCCACATAGGTCATGCATATTTTCCGTCTAACTCCACTCCAATATCCATGTCTAATGTCTTAGTTTCTCCTGAACTTATTAGAAATCTTGTTTCTGTTCATTCTCTTACACGTGAAAATCCTGTTACCGTTGAATTTGACGAATGTGGTTTTTCTGTTAAGGACGCTCGCACGCGGATGGTGCTCCACCGATGTGACAGCCCCGACGAGCTCTACCTGGTTCACTCCGCCACCTCCACCACTTCCGCCGCCCCTGTCGCTCTCGCCACCGGAGTGGATCTTTGGCACGCTCGCTTGGGTCATCCTAATCCTGCCACCCTTCGCCGTATACTTTGGAGTTTTTCTTTCACGTGTAATAAGAACGAGGATCACTCGTGTCATGCATGTCGCCTCGGCAAACATGCTCGTCTCCCGTTTAGGGCTTCTTCTCATGTTGCATCGTACCCGTTTGAGTTAATTCATAGTGATGTTTGGACCTCTCCTGTTGCCAGTAATACAGGCTTTCTTTATTATCTTGTCATACTTGATGATTTCTCGCATTATGTGTGGACCTTCCCGTTGCGCCGTAAGTCAGACGTTATATCCACTCTCGCCGCCTTCTACTCCTATGTTCTCACGCAGTTTGGTCGTCCCATTCTCGCGTTGCAGCCAGATAACGGGAAGGAGTTCGACAACCTCGTTGTTCGTACTCTCCTCACCACACATGGCACGACTTTTCGTCTTACTTGCCCGTACACCTCGCAGCATAACGGTCGCCATGAGCGTATCCTTCGCACTCTCAATGACTGTGTTCGGACTCTTCTCTTTCATGCCAATGTGCCTCCGCGCTTTTGGCCTGACGCTCTCGCCACCGCTTCCCTCCTCATCAACATTCGTCCATGTCGTACTCGTGAGAACTTTGCACCTCATCACCTTCTCTTCGGTGCACCACCCTCTTATGATGAGCTTCGCATCTTTGGCTGCCTTTGCTACCCTAGCATCGCCTCTACTGCGCCTCATAAGCTTGCACCCCGCTCCCTCGCCTGCATCTTTCTTGGCTACCCACCTAACACTAAGGACTACCGCTGCTATGATCCCGTCTCCCATCGTGTTTTCACCTCCTGACATGTTTACTTTGATGAGATGGTGTTTCCGTTTCAGCAGCAGGTACCCCTTGTTGCCTCGTCACCGCCGGCCACCGGCGGCCCTTCGGCGACTTTGTCAGGTGGATGGCCCCGTTCGGCCCATGGACCGCCTCTGGGCTTTGGCGGTCCTCGCGCCCTCACGCCAGCGCCTGCATACTCGACCTCCTCGGCTGACCTCGATGGCGCGGCTTGCGCTCCCCCTTCACCCGCCGCTCCCGACTCGGGCGCTGCGGGATCGGGCGTTGCTGGCTCGGCCGCCCCATCGGCCGCCTCGACGCTGGCCGCCTCGCCGGCCCCGACGCCGGCCACCTCACCGGCCCTGACGCCGGACCCCTCACCGGCCGCCTTGCCGGTGGCTCCGATGGCGCCGACTGGCCCTGTTACACGGGCTCATACCGGTGTTCATCGTCCGAGCCTCCAGTACTCGAGCGATGAGTATGTCCTCGCCGCCTCCACCGCGGAGCCGTCTCCTCTTCCCGCGTCCGCTCGCGCAGCCCTCCGTGATCCTCACTGGCTTGCGGCGATGTAGGAAGAGTTCGACGCTCTTCAGCAGAACCGTACCTGGACACTGGTTCCCTGGCCTCCTCGCGCCAACGTCATCACCGGCAAGTGGGTCTTTCACCATAAGACCCGCTTGGATGGTACTCTTGAGCGCTACAAGGCTCGCTGGGTGGTTCGTGGTTTCCATCAGCACGCTGGAGTGGACTTCACTGAGATGTTTGCCCCGGTTGTAAAACCGGGCACGATCCGCACCGTCCTCCAGCTCGCAGTGTCCCGAGGCTGGCCTGTTCATCAGATGGATGTCTCCAACGCCTTTCTCCATGACCATCTTGAGGAGCAGGTGTATTGTGAGAAACCCACCGGTTTCGTCGACGCCTCACTTCCTGGCCATGTGTGTCTGATGTCCCGCTCTCTCTACGGGCTCAAGCAAGCACCCCGCGCCTGGTACCAGCGGATCGCCAGGTTTCTTCAGACACTGGGCTTCAGCGTCACTCGCTCGGACGCCTTATTGTTTGTCTATCGCCATGGTGACACGATTGCATATTTGCTCCTTTACATCGACGACATCATCCTAACGGCCTCCTCCGCAGCTCTTCTTCAGCAGATTACTCTCCGGCTGCATGACAAGTTTGCCATCAAGGACTTGGGTGCTCTACATTATTTCCTTGGCATTGAGGTCGTTCGGCGCCCGGACGGTTTCTTTCTTCATCAGCAGAAGTATGCGCACGAGCTTATTGAGCGTGCTGGCATGCTCAACTGTCACCCTGTTGCTACTCATGTTGACACGAAGGCCAAGGTTTCTGCTCTTGAGGCCTCGCCAGCGTCGGATGCTCCTTTCTACCGGTCTATCATCGGTGCTCTTCAGTATTTGACTCTCACCAGACCAGATCTTCAGTATGCTGTTCAGCAGGTGTGTCTCCACATGCATGCCCCTCGTGACTCCCATTGGACTCTCGTGAAGCAGATCCTCCGTTACATCCGCGGCATGATGACCCTCGGGCTGACACTCATGGCGTCCACTTCTCTGGAGATGATGGCCTACTCCGATGCGGACTGGGCTGGTTGCCCAGATACTTGTCGGTCCACCTCTGGCTACTGCGTCTACCTCAGTCCTTCACTCGTCTCGTGGTCGTCCAAGAGACAACCCACGGTTTCGCGCTCCAGTGCGGAGGCTGAGTACCGAGCCATGGCCAACGCTGTTGCTGAGTGCACCTGGCTACAACAGTTACTTCAGGAGCTGCATCATGACGTCTCCCAGGCTACGGTTGTCTACTGTGACAACGTTTCTGCGGTGTACCTCTCCGCCAACCCCGTTCGTCATCGCCGGACTAAACACATTGAGCTGGACATTCATTTTGTGCGCGAGCAGGTGGCTCTTGGACG